AATAATGGAGGGAGAAGAAGGAGAAGAGATCAGAAACAGAGCCACAGAAGTTGCAGAGATGGCGAGGAGGGCGGTTGGGGAAGGTGGATCTTCGTTCTTGAATCTTGATGCTTTGATCAAGGAGTTGAAATCTGTGGCCTTTTAGATTTATTTTCAACTAATGTAGTCAATCAGACTGATTGACTTTTTAGGGACTATTTAAGTCTATTTTATGAGTGGTTTTTAGGATTAGAATTCGAACTCATGAACAAATATAATTACATGTGTCAACGTTTTATGAGTGATTTTAAACTGACTAATTTATAGCAGGTCATCGTGTGTTAATTTGTTTTTCTTCCCTCAACATTTAAGGGAAAACAATTAAATCTGTCTCTTATGTTCAGAGTATCAAATATTCGTTGACATTGACATTTGATCGATACTTCCATGAAATTGAGATTCGACATTTCTATCGACATCGATATTTAAAATCTTACTTATGCCATAGATTAGAAAAAATAAACATGGCCACGTAGACTAGAAAGATAATTTGAAATTATTATTAATATACCCACACCATGCATCGACCAGCCGCCATGTGTCAAGTTGTGATTCGTCTATGTCATATGAACATGTCACTCCCATGTGAGCAAAAATATCCATGGAGCGCTACGCCATCTGCCACGTTAGTCCTGATATCATCAAAATACGTCTGTCGAGCACCACATTATTCTCCACGATCAAAAAGGTGTTTGTTTAAATTTCATGTTGTCTCCATATTGACAAAATGTCACGTGTCAAATTATACTAGGTCTACAGTTCCACACCATCATCGACGACTGATTTTTCTTCTCAATCTTGTTTTGACTATAACTTTTTAATTTGAACTTGTGTGATTCAAATTGCGTTAGAATCAATTTTTTCAAACTCTATATTATATAGATATTTTTAAACACTAAAATCATCGACGAATCTAAATAATCTATAAAATCTTCTAATCATATGATTCAAATCATATGGAATGAATTCAAAATGCCACAAGATTATGCAAATATACAAATGATGACGCAATTGCTTACATTAAGTTAACACCCTCCACTTCCCTATAATATTAATAAATCCTTACATCTTTGACTCATTGGTAACTTCAACTAACAATTCTTGTTGATTTCAATAATACATGTCGTTCCATTTAGTTTACAAATTTTAGGTTCAATTATATATTTTGCCTTTAGTACTTTCAATATAATATTTCTCATCCTTCCATTTTAAATTATAGAAATGAACAAGTGACTAAAATTTTCCATCTCTCAAAATTTTTCCACTAGATGTCGTCTCATACTTTCTAACTAATATCAAGGTAATTGTGGTGGATAATAAAAATAATTCACACCAACTTTAAAAATTTTCGTATGTAAACTGGATATAATAGTATTATATCAACACATAGGTATCATAATTATATTAGTAGATATCATGATTATATTAGAGGTATATCAGTTATAAATTAGAAGCATATTAAATATATATCAAATATATATATATATTAATGTTATATTAGTATAGATCATATAATCATATATAAGAAGTTGTATCATTGGTACATTAATGGTAAATTAGAGACATATCAAGTATATATCATAGATATATAAATGTTGTATCGATATGGTAAATCAATGGTTATCATACGTATATCAGTGGTAAGTCATATTAGAAGTTCAGTAGATATCATAGCTATATTAGAAGTAGATCAATTATTATCATTATTATATCAATGGTATATCATAAGCACATATCAATAGTTAGATATATTGCACATATATTACAAATGTATATTAGATATATTGCAGGTTAAAGTTGTAATTTTAAAATTTGACCTTCGTTTTTTGTTGAAAAAAATGCTATATTCTAAAAAACTAGATGTGGTTGCTATTTTACTAAATATTTTTGTCATATTTGCAATTGCTCCGGATAGAAATTAAAGATAATTAGAGATGTAATTGATTTTTTTAAAAAGAAGAAATTATTCGAGAATTAAGTAATATTTACAAATGTAATTTGGTCTAAATTTTAAAACAAAAAAAAAATAATGTCATCATCTTATGTTTTATGTTTTTTTATTTTTAGTTTTTGAAAAATAAAGTCTTTTTATAATCAATACAATTTTTTTCTGTTTTTTTAAATGTTCTTGAAATTCTTATTTTTCTCTGATTTTTTTTATTCTTTTGGATATTTATCTCTAATAAATTTATTTCTCACTCTAAATTTTTCATGCCTAAATTTATCTCTAAAAAATTTATCACTGACTAGAATTTTCATGTCCACTATTTACTATTATATCTTTTCTCTCTAAAATTTCCATCTATATATATATATATTTTTTTTTTTTTTCAAACACATCACTCTCATTTATCTCTCCATAAAATTTTACAATTTATATATTTTTTTTCTTTCTATATTTATCTTGCAAATATATCTCTAACTTTTATTTATCTAAATTTGTCACTTTCAATTTTTTCTCACTGTAATTTTTCTTTTTCTTGGTTTCTCTAACAAGTCTTTTGCTCTCAATTTTATTCCCTTGCTCTAAAATGTTTTTTCTTTTTTTTTTTGTCTGGTAACTTTTCTCTCACTCAATTTTTTACTAGAACTTTTCTTTTGCTAAATATTTTTATTTATCTCTTAAAAAGTTTCCTTTTATTTCTCTAGATTTTTATTTTTAATGTCTAAGGCCTAAGTATAACAAAAATTCTCGTAGGACCAAGTACCCACTTCAAGAATAGGGAATTCATTTTTCACCACATCCTTATCTTTCCCTAATTCCATTAAATATATTTAAAAATTTTCTTAAGTTTCACTATTGCAATTTGGAGCTTCCCGATGCTAATAAACACGACTGTTTTTCTTAATAATGTTTTTTTAATTTATTCGAAAAATATATCATTAGCCAAATTTGAATAATACTTGAAAAATATATGGTTGTCTCTTAAAGAGAAAATCTATGAAGTGGCATTCATAGATCGTCTCTTCAAGAAACGACCTGATTTTTTAAAAAAATCAAAACAAACTAGTCTTTCAACTAGACGTGTATTTTTTATCGTACATCCAAGAGACAACATTGTTACTTTAAAGAAAATAAATACTTTACAATATTATATAACATAAAAAAGCACATGACTATCTCTTCGTGCATTGGGTAAGCGCCTAGACCAAGTGGACCTTAGTTTGAATTTTATTGTGTGCTTTTTTTGTTTTGTTTTGATATTATTATTATTATTAACTTTAAATTATTAAAACAATTAATTTTTAGTTTTATTATTATTATTATCACCTTATTAAATAATTATAATAGTATTTGTTGACGGTGAATTTTGTCCTTCGGACGAGTAGTTTTGTCTGAAAGTAAATGAGCCTAGAATCAGAAAACTCGACGTCGGTGCGGTATCCTGCCTAATAACTTCCGACCTCAAAGCAGTGATCGGAGTAGAAAATAGGAAAAGACACCTTTAAGTATTAGTGACAGGTTTTCACTTACTTTGATGGTGAGGGTCCAACTCTGGCGGCCGACTAGGAAAGACGAGGTTATAGTGGTAGGGGAGCATCGTGCGATACGTCGCTTGGCGAAGATGTACGCCCTTGACAATTGGCAAGTGACGTCGTCGCTTGCGGTTTTGGGCCCTGTCGCCTATCGTAGGCAAGTTTCGAGTTCGGCGTGCTACCCATACCAGAGGGACGAAAGCACACATCTCCTGCCACGACAATGTGCGATGTATAACCATATATAATCTCACGCCTCTCAACCGTTGACACACACAGTATTAAAAAATATTGAATTATTATAATAATATTAATGAGTAGATAAGTATAAAGTTTAAAATAAGATTATCGTATTATTATTATTATCGGTGTTAATAATAATAAGAATAAGACATTGGCGCCAAATCTGTAGTTTTGTTGACTGTTCATAGGTCGTCTTTTCGACCACCTATTTTCCAAGCATTATTCTTAGAAATAGTTTGATTAATAATATATTTTTGGAATAGGTTTGATAAAAAATCATATTTTGAAAAATCGGTAACAAACAATGAAAAGAAAAAACTTTGAGAGAAAAAAAAGGTCAAATTTGCGTCTTTGGCAAACAAATGGCATTTTTCGAATTTTTTAAACATGTTTTTCCGTGACACTTAACAAAATAAAAAATCAAATTGAATCAGCCGACTGGTCGATGCATTATCAAATCATTTGTATCAGAGTGCTTTTTGTTTTGTTTTGCTTTTTTTTATTTTAATGAGAATTTGGTAAATGTTTCATTAAAAAGAAAAAAGTGTAAGAAAGTATTTTTTATGTAAAAGGGGCAGAAAAATGTGAGGGAATATAGTTTTAAAAAAATGCAAGGGAATAAGAAAGATTAAAAATTAAAAAGTACTTTCAATCATACAATTATTAAAAAGTATTTACAATAATTCAAACGAAAAAAAAATGTAAGGGAATATAATTAAGGGCTGCTTACAAAACAGACAAAACAGAATTAAATAATAGCAAACGTAGAAGTTTGGAATAAGAAATAACTTTAAACGTTATTTGAAATTTGAGAAATTATTTTAATTTCTTCGTTTTTTTTTTTAGTTTTTTTTTATAAATATATTCAGAAGAAACCCCTTCTTGGGCGGGCAGGGCCTTTTATTCTCCTTTTATCTTTATTCTTTTTTTGAGTTTTTTATTACTTAAATACTAACATCAATTCTTTTAAAAACTGGTTATCTTATTATTTTCCTACAATTTCATTAATTACATTTTCATTCCTTCTTCGACCAGACCCATGATTTTTCCATCGTCATTTTACAACTTTTACTATTTACCTATTATTTATCAATAGATCTCATAAAATAATAATAATTTATTTATTTTACTACTTTGTTTATTCATACTACTAATAACTTTTCTTCTAAAAAAATTTGTACAATTTTATTAGTTTATATAATTTTATTATAAAATAATACATTTTTCTATTTAATTCAACAATTATTTAATTCTACTTTATTATTAGTTCATATTACTTTTTAATGTATTTCTCTCTCCCCCACTTTCCCCCACTCTCTTCCCTTCTTCCCTCCTCCCGCGAAGTTTTGGTTCTCTCCTCTTCCCCAATACAGCCTCCGACCAACA